GTGATCAATAAAACATTGGAATGAAGATTTAAACATGGTTAGAATCAGTAAACAAAGCTTTTATCTGTGTGCTAAAGAATAAATTAAGACCTGTTAAAACTGTTGAAGACTCTGTCTATGATGCCAAAGACTACACACCAAGGGAAGAATTCAATACAAAGCTAAATATCTTTAAACTCATTCAGATAGAAATAAATGAGCTGGAATCAGACTTTTTAGGTTCAGTTATGTTTAGATATTTTAAAAAATCAATGTAGCAAATAGTTAGTTGAAGCTAACTTTCTTCTCCAGCTTTAACCATCTGTTTTTAGTCTGGGGAAGAAAATTTATCCATCATTTCTCTGTTGATTGGATGCATCAAATATATACAAAATTCGGGGAAAATAAGAAACACAAAAATAATACTAGTGAAATTGGTAACTGAATCCTTAATAACAAACAATTAAAAAGAAACTTTAAAAACTATAAAAAGTAAAGCAAAACAATAAAAAAACACTTAAAAGATTATATAGAAGGGATTATAAATAAGGGATTAATAAGAAATTATATGGAATTTCACAACCAGGGTGTCAAACTTGAAGCACACTTATGCTGTTGCAACCATTATTGCTTCTCAATTTGCCAAAGAACCAAGGTGTGATGAGGGTGAGATGGAATGCAGGCTCCAGACTTCAAGAGGATGAGCTGTGAGAGCCAAGGACACTCCAGCATGTATTCGTCAAAACCAGAGACTTTTTTCTCATAACAATACAATGACACTCAATTGGGCAATGTGACTGCACTTATAGGGGGAGGACAGAAATCTGTACTGTCATTATGTGGCTTTGCGCAGGAATTAGGTAGAGCTGGTTTTGTCTTCATCAGTGATGAAATGATGTACTCAATAAAGTTTTGAATTCAGAGATTGGAAGGCCTCGAATGTGCTTGCTTTGGTTGGGTTCATCAGCCAGACATTGACACAGGGTACTGTTAGAGCCTGCATTTCATCAATCTAATATCTCTAAATATAAGCATAAAAGATATATAGCAGACATTCTGATGACTAGGAACAGATACTTCTGTAATGAGACTTTCAATGTCCTTGGAGAACCAATGATAAAGAAATTCCATTCTTGAAACAAGCACACCTTTGCACTGAACTGAAACAGTAATTCAGAACTGGCAATACAGCACTTACAGACCCCACTGATTACTAGATCCGCAAATACTGTATATACTTTTTTTTAAAAAAAAACCAGAAATATCATGAAATTTTGCTGAGTTCAATGTTCTCGTAAGATTTAAGGACAAGGTTTGGTGATATAATTTGGTGATATAATTTGTTCATTTGGACATAAGTGCCATAAAAGAAAATTATGGGGGCCAAAACCTTAAAAGATTGCCAAGCAAAAAATCAACCAGGATAGTCAGGGAAAAGAGAGAAGAAGAAGGAGTGGAGAATGAAACTGTGGCTAATCAACACACAGCAATCTTTTTTGTTTTATAAAAATTATTGTGAATATGTCTGTATAGAGCTACATACAAGTAATCTTTGACTTACAACCATTCATTTAGTGATTATTTGAATTTACAACAGCACTAAAAAAGGTGGCATACAACTGGTTTTGCACATATGACTGTTGCCTCATTCCCTTGATCAAATGTTGGTGCTTGGCAACAAGCGTGTAATTACAATGGTTGCAGCATACCAGGGTCAGTGATAGCTATTTGCAACCTTCCTAGAGGCCTCTGACAACTAAAGTCATTGTGGAAAGCTGGATTCACTTAACAACCATATGATTCACTTAACAACTGCAGTGATTCATTTGACAATCATGACAAAAAAGACTGTAAAATCAGGCATGTGTCGTTTAACAACTGCCTTGCTTAGCAACATAAATTCTGGTCACAATTGTGGTCATAAATCCAGGTTTTATCTATTGTATCTATCTATTCAGACATAACCAACATCTTGACTTATTTTTTCATACTTTATGGAAGCCTCTGTTATGGAGCCAAATATCATTCTTGTAAATAATAATGGAGTTATGTTTGTCTGGAATTGCACTGCCTGCGATGCAATCTAAGCATAGTACACAAAATTGTCTGCTACAATGTCTTACCTGTCAACAACTTCTCAGCTTCAACCACAGTAATACATGGGCGAATAATCTATACAAACTCAAGGTAAACTGCTTCAAACTTGATTGCAGAAAATATGACTTCAGCAACAGAGTGGGCCACACCTGGAATGCTCTACCTGACTCTGCTGTTATAGCCTCAAACCCTTACAGTTTCAACCTCAAACTATCTACTGTGGACCTCACCCCATTCCTAAGAAGTCCATAAAGGGGGCATGCATAAGTGCACCAGCGTGCCCTACCATCCCTGTTTTACTGTCCCCATTTATCTGTATTTACTTCCTTTGTTCATGTTTATGTTCATACTTATACCTGCTATCTTGTACATGTTTGACAAACAAATAAAAGGCTCCATTCCTTTTTTTAAAGAAAGAAATATATAGATAAGAATTTGTAAGTACATAAATAAGAAAGAAAGAAGCTGACTGTTCTGAAAAGCAACATTACTTAGATACCATCTAGCTGCATCTGATTCTTGGTAATTGTATGGGCAGATATCCTCTAACTTTATCTATACCCGTGACAATCTGCAGTTCTTCCAAGGACATTCAAGGGATGTGCCTGATATGTCCATCCATCTCATCCATTGCTCTCTCTCTTTTTTTTTTTACAGCTCTCAGGTTTGCCAAGCACAACTGACTTTTTCCACCCCTAATCCATCACTTCCTTATATCTCATGTCTGAAGTTTATGAATTTCTGCTTGCTGAACATTGTCTCAACTGTCCTTTTTTAATTATTTTTTTCTCAAGGCCTATTTATTGGTTCTTCTTGCAGCCCATGGTACAACATTATCAGTAACAACTTCAGATCTGTAATTCAAAGGTGTTATTATTTCTCAATAGCCAGTGTTCACAACCATGACCTGGATGACTGAGAATTTCTACAGACTTCTGCTTTGAAGTGCACAGTTGGGGTACCTCCAATTTTGAGAATCCCTAGGAAGTACCAATTGAATTCTAATTATTAGTTTTCTTTAAATTTGTCATAATTAAAACTTACCCTGTATATAATTAATACTTGAATTTTAATCTATATATCATTTTAATTAAATGTAAAATTTGTTCTTAATTATTAAATGAAAACTATAGGCCAAACTTAGGCCTGATTAAACCATTAATTTTGTTCATGAAGGTACACAAATCCATTTGCAATTCAGTGGGAGATGTCACAGTGTTGAAGGACGTCTGCCTTAAGTAATGAGAAACAAAATGTCAAATCAGAATTTTATGAAAGGGAGGTGTCAAATAATGATAATGTAACATGGGCCTAAGTTTGACACCCGTTTTAGAACTTCAGTATTTTTTTTTTTTATGTCATGGCGATCAAAATGGGATGCAATATTCCAAATGTGGCCTTAGTTTACTATATATGAAATAGTAAATTCAATACTTCTGCCCTTAAAAAATAAAAAGTCCAGGTCAGCTGACCACCGAGAGCATTTTGCTCTTATTGGGGATTCAAATAGAGCAGACTTTCTTTGTCCATGTAGTGCTGATGTAATCTCAGTTCCCAGATTGATAAAGATTCAGCTGGCCATTTTATATGCAGCCACCTGCATGGTTCATCATTATCAGTGAACTGATCCACAAGAATTACCTGATAGTTTACACAAAGACAATAAAATAGAAAATGAGGACAAGTTCTTCCAATATGTTGGTGATATATTGCTGTACCCAGAAAATTGTTCAGTTTCTGGGTTTCTTGGAATTCCGTCTTTTTTCATTTTAGTGCCTCTTGCTAAAGATACTTAGTGAGAATTGTGCATAGAAAAGGAACAATTTCAGTATATCAGAGAGACTAAGAGCCTGACATCTGCTTTCTGAGAATGGAGGCATTTATTATCAAGCAAATATAAGTGACACCAAGTTGGAGAAAGCTGTTGGTATGATGATCAATCATATGTAAGCAAGCTATCATGTGTAAGTTATCTTATTTACTTTGTCTTTGGAACAATGTACATAGCTACATAGAGCCGCAACATTTATTAAACCAGAAGAAGTTACAAAGTTAGGAAAAATCAGAATACCCCCCAAAATGTTGGTTATTAGTTCAACTCAAAGTTTATAGGCATGGAAATTTATAGGCATGCAAAAATGTTTTCCATATGAACCAGGAAATAAAATAATTTGACCAAACTATACATAATAGGTGTGCATAAAGCTTTATCAACACTTATTACAAAGTATTTTATATAACGAAAAGGTAATTCAGGCCTCCCAAATGAATACAGACTTGTCCACACATTTATATTTCAAATCACTGTTTCCCAATTTGTTTGATTCACATCTATGGCTACACAAGAAAAAGCACAAGCAGTTATTTTACTTTATTATATACCACCCCACAGGATACAATCTATTTAAATGCAAACAGAATTTGAAAAGTAGATATATTCTTTCTTTTGATAAACTGATTCAATTTCTACAACAAACGTTCATTCCATTATGCTACCATTTAATCTTGCATTGTCAATATTAATTTCACTGAAGTGATTGATAGAAATAAATATTTTAATAACATTTAGCAATTAAATGCAGGTGCTTCTGTATAAAAGGGTATTATTGTTATTTTAAAATAATATCATCTTTATCAAAACTATATGCATGCTGTGGTATAATTTTAATTAGCTAATGACCATAGAAATAAAGTATGAAATCTTTCTGAAGATGTTTTCCTGTCCATTGCCCAAGTGCAATGCTGTAACAGTTTCCCACAAAGCAATTCATATGATCACAGATTAAATGCCCCTTGCTTTAATTCACTTCCATTAGTTAATGTTTAAAACCATGGGTTGGGTAGATATGAAATATGTTTCTTTATGATAAACAAGACAGAAGGGAGATCTTTCTTGGCACTTGGTTTATATCTACGTGTTATTCTTATAGCAGAGTGTCAAATATTTCATCAGGATATAAGAGGAAGCCTGAAAATATGCTGTCATCTTCAGCACTAACATAAACCCCATTCCAATCCCTTGTGACTTCTAGCCAGACTTGATCCCCTGCATTTAACTTCAGAATGGTAAGGAAGGATGCCTGGTCTATCTCTTGGCCATAGAGTGTCTCCCGACTTCTGATCATCTTCTTGTTCTGACAGACAATACTGATGCGGGCAGGACGCCCTCGTATTGTCATATGATAGGAGAAGACGTAAGCCCCAGCAATGCTGCAATTAAATTTCCCTGTCAATGGATTATAATGTTCCTGGTCGTTGTACAGTATCTTATCAAACTTAATAGGCAGGTTTGGGGGTGGGAAAGGTCTGGATAGACCAACACTAAAGGCTGATCTGGGGAGGGTTGGAGTCTCACCTTTTGGACCTTTGGGGCCTTTTGAACCTTTTTTACCAGGAGCTCCTCGGATTCCTTTGAAACCAAGACTTCCTTTCACCCCAGGAGGCCCCATCAAACCAATTGGACCCTGGTCTCCTTTATCACCCCTAATTCCAGGTTCTCCCTTTTCTCCCTTTTTCCCATCCTCCCCATGCCCACCTTCCACTCCTATGTCTCCTTTTACACCTTTTTCTCCTTTTGGCCCAACCTCACCCTTCTCTCCTCTTTCTCCTTTTTCCCCTGGATCCCCCAAATAGCCCTTTTCCCCAATGTCCCCCTTTTCTCCTTTTTCCCCATTTTCCCCATCAACACCTGATAACCCCAGTTCCCCCATGTCTCCTTTCTCTCCTTTGGTGCCATTCTCACAATTTTCCCCCTTGGAGCCCTTTTGTCCTTTGACTCCAGGAAGACCATGGTTTCCTTTATCGCCTTTAAATCCAACTTCACCTAGAAGTATTAAAGACATAAGTAAGAGGTTAAAAGGAAAAAACATCAAGCAACATCATGTTCCAGTTCATGCATCAGCTCTAAATTGCCAGGTCCTTTATTCTTATAGAAATGGGATTTGCCCCTTCCTGTCACCATAACAACTTGATTTCTAGAGTCTGTCTCTTTCACAAACAGTGTAGAAAAATACTGTGAATGAGGCATGAAAATATACAAGTATATCTGTGAAGAAATTATTGGTTGGAATAGGTGTTTATTGAAGCAAGGTAGTCCTCCACTATGGGAAGGAGCCCAATGTTTTAATAATTGCATGGACAACATTTACATATGACATATTTCTGTGCATTTTTAAAATGCATATGTCAGACAAGCACCAGAATACAGAAAAAGCCTTTTCAAATTAATACATACCCAACCCTATGAGAAAAGCACTATCCACCCATCATGTTGATGATAATAATAATAAGAATGATAATGGATAATCTCATAATAATCGTACTTCATTAAAATATTCCAAAGGCATTTAGAGTTGACGATAATAAAAGTAGAGTTCCTTCTAGTGCAGAGGTCACATTCTCGCGGCCCACAGGCCAATTGCGGCCCGCAGGACTATATCCTGTGGCCCTCACTGTGTATAATATAAATATAAAGTATAATATTATGCGGCCCAGCCTCACCCAGCCTCTGCCTCCAGCGGCCCCCAAGTAAATTGTGTTTGAGATCCCTGTTCTAGTGGCTCTCAGCCAACCATCATTATGCTGAAATAACTCTAATCTGGATATGCTGTCTCAAAAATTTCTGAGAGTCAAGAGAAGATGTTATTAGTCATTTTATGTGAAAATGACTATGATAATCTATTTTTGAGGATACATATAAATATATCAACCTAGGGCCACAAAGAAAGAGAACCTCATACCTTATAGATACTTTACTTCCTTGTTTTTTTCTCAGATCTTATGCAGCCTACCTGAGTCTCCGGGTCTGCCTGGATATCCTGGGAGTCCATTTGCTCCTTGATCACCATGTTCTCCTTTATCTCCTATGCATTGTTCCAAAATATGACATATTTATCTGTTAACTGTTAATGCACATTCATCATCTCAGTGTTGACATTTTTCTATCATAATTTGTTGGAAGACTAATTCGAATTAGGGCTCTTCATCCCATGTCTTAGCTCTGCTTTCTTTATCCCTTCAATAGGTCAACTAAATACATGAAAGTTCACTATTTACCTTTGGAAAATATTGCTACATCAATCCAATCCATGCTGGCTGTTGTTGTTTTTAAGAATTTTAATATTGTTCTTACCTTTGTTTCCTCTGAATCCTTTTGGTCCTGGTAATCCAGGAGTTCCTGGTAGACCAGGACGGCCTTTTTCTCCTACTTCTCCTTTAAGTCCTATTTAAAAAAACAAGGGAAGTACATTACTTGAAAAGATTCGTATGTCACAGGATTAAAGACAGTGTACTTAATACAGTTGTTTAGTTTTGCTATCCTAAGTCTTTGGGTTCTTTTTCTATATTGTTATTACTACAGGTAGTCCTCGACTTATAAACATTCATTTATAAGTTGAAGTTACAACAGCACTGGGGGAAAATGGCATCACCATTTTTCATACTTGTGACTATTGCAGCATCCCCATGGTCACGATCAAACTTCAGACATTTGGCAACTGGTTCATATTTAGGACAGTTGCATTGACTTGGGGTCATGGGATCGCTTTTTATGAACTACTGACAAGCAAAATCAATGGGAAAGCCAGATTCACTTAACAACCATGTTACTAACTTGACAAATAGAGTGATTCACTGAACAACTGTGGCGAGAAAGGTCACAGAATGGGGAAAAATTGGCTTAACCATTGTCTGGCTTGGCAATAGAAATTTGGAGCTACCTGTACTATTATTGTTATTTGCTACCTGTAGAATAGGAAGGCTACCTTTGAAAGTAATTATTATGTGTTCCTGTTTGTTGAAAATCAACAACAAACTTTCAAAGCTACTGATAGGCTTTTCACCATGACAAAAATAGATAAAACTGCTCAAAATAAAGACGAGTGACATCAGCTTTGTTTTATTTTTGAATAGACACCCACTTTATCTGCTGTTATGATACTTCTCCTGCCACCGCCCACCCATCTTAGAACCTACACAGAGTTCTAAACAAATTCATACCTCCACTGTTGCTAAAGAGCGGTGGGGGGGCGGAGAGACACTTGATTCATATCTTGCTAACTCTGTAGATGCATGATAGTATTTTATATTCATTCTGGTTTAGAAGATTTTCCTTTGTAAGAATCTAAAAACAGGTTGCTTTTCCAATCCAAATAAAGATTGATTTTTATACTAGTTTAAGACTTTCTGATTCATCATGGACATCCTGGCTGTATCTCTGGCAGCTTCCCAAAAGAATAAAGTCTTTTACTCAAACTTCCATGGTAGCTCAAAAAATATATGTTTGAATTAAGGAGTGGTAACAGATCAGGGGGCTGCATCTTGTCCCTCTTCTACAACACCTCCTTAACTCAAATTAGTATTGAAAAGAGCCAAGGTGGCACAGTGGTTAGAATGAAGTACTGCAGGCTACTTCTGCTGAGTGCTGTCTGCCTGCAATTTGGCAAATAGAATCTCACTAGGCTCAGGTCAACTCAACCTTCTATCCTTCCAAGCTGGGTAAAATGAGGACCCAGATTGTTGGGGGCAATATGCTGCCTCTGTAAACTGTAAAAGCACTGTGAAGCAGTGTATAAGTCTAAGTACTATTGCTATTGTCCTGGGCATGCATGACTTGTGTGCAAGCTCAGGAAAAGTCACAGCCCCCCTTTAAAAAGCAGTCAAGAGATAAAGCTGCTATGGTGGATATGAAACATCTTTGCTTGGCCTGAATATAACATATTTCTGTATCAGGCCAGTGCCCCATCTAATCCAGCATTCTAAATGATATCGTAATCAATCAGGATGCATTCAGAAAGAAAGTTCATAAATGAATCAGAAGTTGGGCATCCACTTCTACCATTGCTTCCTATCAGCTGATATTTAAGGCAATATGCTTTTGGTACACCCATTAAGGCTAGCAGCTGCTGACAATCTGTTTCTCCTGTCCAATTTTGCAAAGGTTTTATTTTATTTTATTCCAGTTACTTTTCTCTACCTGGCAATCCTGTTTCTCCAGGTTCCCCTTTCTCCCCTGGAGATAAAGCACAACAATCGCAGCAGTTAAAAAAGAAGTCCGAAGAGTCCAGAGTAAAGTTTTCAAATGGGAAGAGTGTGGTGGCTGTTCTGAAGGCATAGTGTGGCGTAGACAATTCTGTTAGGACATCATTCTTTTCAGGTATTTCGGTGAGGAGGCTGTCTTCTGCGAAGGACGCATCAGAAGCATCTGGGTTCTTGGTGGTTTCCATCTCAATCGCTCTTATTTTAGTAAACTTTGGAAATGGGGTACTTTTTCCTTCAATAGTAAAATCAGCAATTGTCGTTAATAGGAAGGTGCAGGACCAAATCAGACACCACATTTTTGCAGCTGTAAGGAATAATTAATGCAAATCATAATGTAAATATTTATACTATACTTTACTATTTATGCTATACAGGAAGCCTGATGATGGCAGATGACATTCTGCCGAAACATTGCTGCAACTTTAAAAGCACAACTACAATGACGTGGGAAAATACCCGAACAAAGCTGAATGCCATACATGTAAGTACCCGCAAAAACTTAAGAAAATATATATATATATATTCTGTGTGTGTGTGTGTGTGTGTGTGTGTGTGTGTTAAGAAAACTGTAATAAGAAAGAGCAATAGGGGTGATTTTTTGTTGCAATACACAAGTCAGCATCCTTGTTGATAAGCTTAGATGTTTTTGTCAAATAGACCGCCATCCAATTAACACCTTTCCTAATAATACTACAGTACATGATGTTGATTTACATGTAGGTACGTCTGTAGCAAAACTTGCATCAGCATATGCAGTGAAACTTAGTTCATCCTTAGGCTCCAAATATAATGCATAATGCATCATTTGTTTAAGATATCTCAACACACGCTTAGCAGCTTGCCAGTGCCTTTCAGTAGGCTCAGCATTAAACCTGGCTAATTGGTTGACACATGCGCTATGTCTGGCCTAGACCAATTACTAAAATAGGATAAACTACCAATTAATGATTGATAAATGTCTTTATCAAAAACAGGACTTTGCACATCACTGTGGCTAAACTCCTGGCTCATTGGTGTCTTAGTTGGTTTACAAAGTTCCATTTTAAAGTTCTTCAGTAACTGGTTAATTTTATCTGCCTTAGTTTTATCTATTTTCAAACCAAGATACTGTTTAATCTCACCTAAATGTTTGATTTTAAATTTCTTCTCTAACAGTGAAATAATCCCAGTAGCTTCTTGCTCAGTTTTAGTGATTAATGATATGTCATCAGTGAACAATAGCAACAATGAAACTACACCATCACTTTCCTTTTTGAATAAACATGGATCAGCCATGCCAGCTACAAAACCTATCTTAGTTGATTCCTTAACTATGTGCTGGTTCCACTCATATTCCGATTGCTTCAAGCCATAAAGACTCTTTTTCAATCTCCAGCAATCAGTTTTGTGAGAATGAGTGCACTCAGGGAAACATAGTGAGAGTGGTGATGAATAACACACAACCAGCACACAGATACACTGAATAGTAAAATGTAAGTTTTACTTCCTGTAAATGGGTAAACAAAGTCCAACGAACAGTCCAAATCATATGCAGTTAAAGCAGTTAGTATTCAAAATAATCAGTCCAGGGATAATCCAAAAACAAAGTCTTTTTCTTTACCAGTATCATAAACAAAGTTCAGTAAACAGAGTTGGTGAATAGTTGCAAGACTCACAGCAATTCAAGCAGAATGACAATCAGGAAAAAGGAAAAAGGAAATGCAAAAAAAGAACAAACCAAATTTCTGGCTCCATCTTATGGCCATTGGAGGAACCTCAGCCAATCACAATTACAACATTCTCTTAAAGATACAACAGTATTAAATGACTATCCTGGTTTATATATTGCCAACCCAACTGTTATCTGACTATCATTCCTAACATTTGGTCTTTCAAACTCTTTATTTTTTACTTCTTTTGATGAAATAACCAGCTAAGATACACATGCTGTGTATCCAATTTTCTATTTAAAATAAAATTCAGTAGGGACTCGTATTACACCAATGATGTATGTCAAACCATTCCAGCTAATTAAAACTGTACCTGTTCCTTCTTTACGTACATGCTTCATGCATCTCTAATAGTCCCATACCTAAGCAGGTGCTGGGAACAGTTAAAACAATATGGCCATATCTCACTTGATTACTCATCTCTTCCTTTTTCATGCTCTTATGGGATTACTCTTCCATAAGGTGATGAATAGCATAATTACTAACTACCACATATGTTGACTTCATTTTCAGGTCTATTTTTAACCTGTTCCATTTGCCCTCCCATAAGAATTCTAGTCTACATGCCACTCTCATTTCATCTGTTACTGCGGCATTTGGTCAACTGGCCATGTTTTCCTCAAAGCAAAGAAGCAAAATCCTAACAACTGTTTGACACACTCAGAGCAACAAATCCAGGACTTCCTTCAACACCCGTATTACACATCAAGCTTATTTCCACTATTGAACAAGGAGGAATAGAAAAGTGTTAATCCTTGACTTTGAGCCCAAAATTTATGTTGCTAAGTGCAACAGTCATTAAGTTTTGCTCCATTTTATGTATAAACTTTCTCACCACAGTTGTTAAGTGAATATGGCTTTCCCATTGACTTTGCTTGTCAGAAGGTTGCACAAGATGATCACATGACCCCATGGACACGGCATAAAGACATGCCAGTTGCCAAGCATCAAAATTCTGATCACGTGACCATAGCTATCCTGCAACAATTGTAAGTGTGATAAATGATCGTGTCATTTTTTTTTACTGGAACCCATACAGCAAATAGTGAAATGAATAAAGCTGAGATTACTCTTGAAGGTTTGTAATCTTTTATGTTTGGGTATCAGCTCATAGTCATATTCTCTGGCCTTTACCTATTCAATGGAATGGTGATGTTCTTACATTGATATATGCTTGGACTCTCCATTTAATAAAAAAAATAATTATTATAAGGAAATATAATCAGGCTGAGAATAAGTGCAAAATGACCAGAAGAGAAAATTGGTTTGGCTGTAGATATTAATAGACTTGTCTATATCTGTATCACACTAGTATAGAATATTTATTTATTTTTGTTTGTTTGTTTGTCAAGCATGTATGAGAAAACAAGTATAAGTATGAACATAACATATAAACATATAAGTATAAACAGGTAGAAGTATATACATAATAAACAAGTATGAATAAATGGATAAAATGGGGACAGTAAGGCAGGGATATTAGGCACACTGGTGCGCTTATGCATGCCCCCTTACAGACCTCTTAGGAGTGAAGTGAAGTCCACGGTAGATAGTTTAAGGTTAAAGTTTTGGAGGTTTGAGGATGTAACAACAGAGTCAGGTAGTAAGTTCCAGGCATTGACCACTCTGTTGCTAAAGTCGTATTGTCTGCAATTGAGTTTGGATCCCCAAGGTAAGTTAATAAGGCAAACCTGTCCTAACTTTCACAGAAAAGACTAGTACTTTTGAGTAACAAGACTCTTACATTAAGCCAAATTTTAAAGGGTCTCCAAACTTGACAACTTTAAGTCTTGTGGACTTCCCCATGACCTGGCTGGGAATTCTGGGAGTCAAAGTCCACAATTCTTAAAGTTTTCAGATTTGGTGACCCCAGCACTAAAAATTAACATAGAACCTTTGAGACAAAAGCAAGAAAGGAAAGCTTGAGTACAGTAGAAGTCTTCAAATCCCATTCTATTTGGGAATGTGGATGCAATAATGCTCACCACCCTTCAAAATGGATCTTCCTAGATGATCCTCTTTGGTAACAAGAATTCCTATAACAATACAGTCATAGAAATAGCTAAATGGACACTTTTATCAAAATAACATTCTTCTGTGTCATGGATCTCAAAAAGACTTTCCATATATTTGCTTTAGATTAAAACTGGATGGAGAAATCCACAGGTTTTACAAGGAAACCATTTCATATCTATCTCAGAAAAGGCATATATGATATATGATATAATAATAATATGTCCAATTGTTCTTTCTCAGAAGTAGAGCAGAAATATTTTTTCCTATGCAAGATCAAATACAAAAATCCAACCATTATCTACAAATGATGAAAATGTTTTTTAATATTACATAGCAACTTTAAAAACTTTATGGATGAGTGGGATATTTATATAAGCCTGAGTGAACAGGAACATTCTGAGAGCCAAAAATTTTTCAAAGTAGCTCATTCAGAGCACTACAGAGCTAAATAACTGTGAGATGATTTCATAATGACTATCAAGTCAAGCTCAATTACACACATTAAAAGGTTTTAATATGAAGCAAATTGTAACTCAATGAAATAGGAAGACATTTCTTTGGGCTATAACTTATTCTGCATGTTCATAAGATTTCAAATAGATTTGCTTATTACAAGATGGGTGTTGTGAGACCAAGCCAAATAATTAGCATATTACTTCGTGGGCTTTCCAGAAACTCTCCATAGTTAACTAAAACAAACTATGAAAAAATAGTTTCACATAACCAATAGACAACCCATTTATATGGTAACATATCGTTGGGGAATGTTTCTTTCAAAATCACATCCAGCTTAAATATTTAGGAAAACTCTTTTGGCTTAACTGCACCTGTGACTGGGGGCTCCTCATTCAAATGAAATGCAGTGTATACTTCCAACTGGAATGATCTAGAGAAGAAAGTGATGCTTTGTTTTAAATCTTTCTTTCTGTGGGTTCCAAATGCATTCACAACTTGCCTTGGGCAACTTAGATATATGTTCCAAATGTAGTCAAAATGTCCATTAGAAGCTACTCATATTATCACTGAAAATATAAATTTGAACTGTATGGGACTGGATGCTGTCCACTCCTCTTCTTGTCAGAAAGAAAGGAGTCTTATACCTATACTGTCCTATGTGCAGGTGATGTCTTCATACTATAGGCAGTCCTCGACTTATGACCACAATTGAGCCCAAAATGTCTGTTGTTAAGCAAAACATTTGTTAAGTGAGTTTTGCCCCATTTTATAATCCTTCTTGCCAAAGTTGTTGAGTGAATCATTGCAGTTGATAAGTTAGTAACATAGTTGTTAAGTGAATCTGTCTTTCCCATTGATTTTGCTTGTCAAAGGTTGCAAAAGGTGATCGTGTGACCTTGGGACACAGGAAGGATGGAGAGAGGGAGGGGGGAGGAGGAAAGGAAGGAAGGAAGGAAGGTAGTTAAAGTTGTTAAGACAATCTTTCCAAAAAAGAAAATTAGAAAAAAATTACAAGCACTTTCAAAAATCCTACATAATGCTCAGCTTCTCC